AAGAGCGTTTGCTCCTGGACTTTAATTTTAACCACCTTGGTTAATGAGCAGTATACAGGGTTGAATTCCTGCTTTTATCAGTTCAGTTAAAACCTATGTTAAAAGAAGCACTGTGCCTTGGGGCTGTAAACAGGCAAAGTCAGGAAATGGAAAATTGATTTCCAGATCAGCTAACTTGGCCCTACTATATTATTATGTGGTATGGTGTATTCTCTTCATTGCTAGACTTATTACGTTTGTGTGTCTAGCTGAGGCATGGTTACTTTACATTTCTTACTTTAATTTTTCAGTCATAACACTTCCCCAAGTTTTCTTTATACGTATATTCTTTAAAAAATTATATATAGTGAGAATGCATAGGCTTGTCCTTAACATTATACATTCTCAGTAGTCATATTGATTTTGCACTGCATAAAGTTACTCACATGAGTTCCCACAAGATAAGGGCCACAGGTGTGGGTATCTTATGCCTTGAGTTAGATAGTGCTCTTACATATGCAATTCCAGACGACTTGTACACACACAGATAGGGAGTGCTGCATTTTACATTGTGTGAGGTAACACTATAAAACTTTATTCTCAAGACAGTTTTTCACAAACATACCAAAGGATTTTTGTCCTAATTTAAAACTGAGTTTATGATTATTTGAGTTAAAATTAGCTATTTTTGAGAGATCCTTGAGCTAACCTGTCAGTTTGTAACAGAGAGTATTGGTAGGGAATGAAGTTGTTTGCTTTTTTCACATGCTGGCAGTTTCCTACCCTAAATGGAATTTGGTGTGATTTCTCTCACAGAATTCACCATTGACTGTAAAACCAATGTGAAACTTCACTGTAAATCATTATTTTTTTCTCATAAAATTATAAGAGCCTGAGACAGACATTTTTTATGAAATTGCTTTCAGGTAATGTTGTTATTACTATCAAAGTTCTCTAATACAGTTTTAACACAGCTAAATGTTTCTGCTAACTTAATAAACTGCAAAATTGACTCTTCCTGAAGAGTAGAAGTTGGGTTTCTCTTAAGCGAATACATAACTTTATTTACAAATAGTCCCACTGAGTTCATGTGCATAAAACTAAATATATACAAATGTTTTGTAAAATCAGGAACTTAATATGTAGTCCCAATCTGAGGAAGTGTTTTTGACATAAATGGAATATACACATCAAAGAAGGACAGCGTCAAGTTTCAAAAAAAAAAAAAAAGTTTGATTTTCATAAATTTTTCATTATATTGGACTCAAATTCTGAAAGTTTGAAGTTGTCCTTAACATAGATCAGTATCAGTGGGAGAATAATTTGTCTACTATATATTTTAGAGTTTGTCTATTTGATCAAGAATTCCTCAAAACAGTAAGAGTTAGAACTAACAAATTCAATGTACAGCTTCCTCTTACCAAAACTTAAAGCAACGTAAAAGTTTGGTTGTGCAAGGCAAATGGGATGTTGGAATGGGATTGCTTTTCATAAAACCAAACAAAAAAGAGACAAACGCCAAAGCAAGTTCAGTCCTCACAATTAACACAGCTGAGAGAATGTTGAAAGAGACTGAATCAAGATGAGCCATAAAATAAACCTTACAGAAAAGAGATAAAACAGAGACATTTGAAGTGTTTCTTTGTTTTGGCACTACTGAGCAAAGCCCGATAAATCTGCTGGTATTTTATATTTTCAAGGTGGTGTGTTTTGATTTTTTTGGTCCACAATCTATACCTATGACTAAACTGTATTTTGGTTCTATTAAAGAAAAGAACTAAATCTATTTTTAGATTTAAACTGAAAAATTTCTTAGAGGTGGATGAGGTTATATCTTTTATTGGACCACTTATGTTGGTGAGAGGGACAAGCTTTCAAGTTTACACAGCTTTTCTTCAGGTCTGGGAAATTAACTAAGCTGCTGTGGGTGCAGCAGGATTGTTTGTAAATTATGTACACATTAAAAAAGCCATGAAGGCTGTGAAGTCATGGTTTTTAGTGGCTAGCAAAGCTATGAATCTTCAGTTCTTAGCCCCATCTTTTAAAAATTTTGCAAGTTTCCTTTGAGGATGAGGACTAAGTCAGATATAGAGTGACTGCTTTCTTAAATACAGAAGCTTTAGGGGGTACCCAAGTTAGTCTGTACAGGATAAACTTAAAAAACAAGAAGTTTCTTAAATACAGTTTATAGTCTTTAAGGGAACAATACTGCAATCGCAGTGTTGTAGAGTATAGGGAAACCGTTATTGTAGAGTATTGGGAAACGGTTATAGTCAATAGTTACATGCCATCTTCAATCTGGAATATATTTTAATATCAAAGTGAGATAGAGCAACAGATTAATAAAAAATGATTTCTAGAGCAGATGGGACACTTGACCACCCTGTTTTAATATGCAGAATACTTCCAGCAAATCCAAGAGAGTAAACCAGAACTATGTTCTCATTCCCACACTGTGGTAAATGTGTGTTGTCATGTAACAAGTTGGTAAATATCTGTCTTGTGACAAATGGTTATATAAACTGACAAAGTTGTTTTACGAATTAAGTAGTAACCTGACTTTATATTTGAGAGAGTTTGTGAGCAAGTGAATCTGTCAGTGTGTTTGTTCAATAACTCCTTGTAGAAACATGAGGGCCTGAAACAAAAGTCCACGTAGCACACGCCTCCTAAACGGTAAGAGTTAGCACCACCGAATTTGATATGCACCTTGTTCTTACCATAACTTAAAGCAAAGTAAGGGTTTGGTCATGTGGGGGAGAAATTAGGGGGGCAAATCCCTCACCCCCATTAGGATGGGGATGCATCAAACCATACAGAAAAGAGCCAGAATCACCAGGCAAGTGAAAGGGGTAGGTGAGGGTGTCCCCCCGCATCCAAGAACTTTTCACTTCACAGGAGCTCTTTAGGAAGAGCAAGTAGCTCTTGCTCCCCCTGTTCATCTGGAAACATTGTTGGCTGTTCCCCTTCTTCAGGGAGTGAGGGGAAAGTGCACAATTGGCTTCATTTCTTAATCTGGCTGGAGAGCACAGGGGGCAGACAAACATGCAGACAGACCTGCCCCAAACATGCACCCTTCTCCCAGCTGTGCCCACTGGAGCTGCAGCAGCCCTGGAGAGGCACTTCTCACTAGGGATGTGAACATTTAACTGTTTAACTGGTAAGCCTTACTAATTAAGGTTAACTGGGGGGGAGGGAAAGGGCCCGCCAGGGACACATTTTCAGTAGACTAGTCCTGATGTTCATGCTATTACTGGGAATAGTATGCTGTTTCATCTTTATTCATTGTTTGTTGGGCTGACTACACTACTTTCATAAACTGAACACAATTTGAACAAGCTATTTGATGGGAAGAATTTAAAAAGTAATGTCAGTGGCAAAGCAATCACTGTATCACAAGAACATTAGATTATTCTACAGGGTTTGACTAAACTAACTCTATCAAATAGCATTCTCTCCTTCTCACCCTATTCCCCTCAAAAACCAAACAAACATTTGCTTTGTTTGAGATTTTTATAGAATAAAATGATCTGAAAACAGTTCTTACGAAAGATGTTAATACACAGAACATATTCAGCACATACAGTGGAAATGCACTTTCTTACACCGTCCTGTTAGTGTGATTTAATCCTTTTCATGGACTAACCATCTTTAAATGAAAAGTTAGTTTAATCTTTATGCCTCTCATTTCAATCTTTGGCCTCTCTAGGCATGTCTACACTGGAGAGTTATTTTGAAAGAACAAGGCAAGTGTCCACATTACGAAGCCTGTTTTTTCAAAATAATGGGCTTATTATTTCAAAATATTCTTCTTCTCAAGCAGGAGTTAAGCTTATTTCAAAATAGTTACTTCGGGAGTTATTATTAATTTATTTTGAAATAACCTGATAGTGTAAACATAGCATCTGGGAATACCAAGAAGAGTTCTGTTTATGATGGTGGCTTGTGTGTGGTGGTAATCACTAATTCTTTTTATATAAACCACTTCATAGCTGTGTTATCGTAACCACTTTCTATGGCTTCTGTGATAGAAAGATTCAAACCGCTGACTGAGATCTGAAAGGACCCATATTGCTTTGTTGTCACCTTCTGCAAAAACAAATCTGGGAAAGTTCCCAGGTGTATTTAGATTTTAGTCTTGATTCTGTTGAAGTAAAGAGCTCTGCTAGATGCTGATCTAACAAGCAAATGTCATCTTGCATGTAAGCTGTTGCTGCCAAACAGCCCTTGTTGGCAGCAGACAGGGCTAGCCGCGGGCAGGGGCTGCTCCAGCCCCAGCCCCTGTCAGCAGCAGACAGTGCGGTCAGCCATGAACAGGAGCCGCTGGACTCAGTGCAAGCCGGGACCAAGCAGTCCTGGCTTGCGCTGATCATTGCACCTCTATGTTTTAAATGTAATAAGAACCCAGTGGCTCTTACTACATTTTAAAATGCAGAGCTACAGCGCGAATGGCTCCTGCTGCAGCTCTGCAAAGCAGTCTTATTGATTAATCATTTAGTCGATGCAAATTATATCAACTATATGATTAGCCTGATAACTGCATTTTCACATCCTCAGTGTGTATGTGTATTAAAAAGCAGATTAAAGCATTTTGAGAGAAACTTAGAACTCTGAAGCAGTAGCAAATAACAGCTCCTCCTCCCCACCTATTACTTCAGGCAAAAATCTGAGTAATTGATAGGCCTTGTCACACATGCTGGAGGTTAGTTTTCACAGTAGACCATCCCTTGCATGGCATAGCTGCATATCCTTAGAGGTTTAAATATCCACACCATCAAGAGACTTAGCCATGCTGACCTATCCCCTGGTGTACACGGTGCTTGGCTGACAGAAGAATTCTTCCATCAACCGCCCTACACGCTTTCAAAAAGATGGATTGACTACAGTTACAGGAATACCCTTCCCATTAATGTAGTGTTTTAAGAGAGTACAGGCTAGGGATGTGAACAAGTAAACAATTACCCAGGAACTGGCAGGC